TACTTCTGCAACCGGCGGAGGTGCCAGCGGCCTTTTTGGCTTTTGGGGTTTAGGGTTTAGGGTTTAGGGTTTAGGGATTAGGGTTTAGGGTTTAGGGTTTAGGGTTGCGGCCTCGTGAGCTGATGGGGTTTACTTGGAGGTTCATGGTACTTATTAACCAATTATGACTCGACTTATAACCCACTTCTAAGCCCCTTAAGCGCCCTAATAGGGTTATAATTTGGGTCCGGGGGACTGTCGGAGTGCACTTTTTTCTGTTTTTTTTTACTTTCTCGTACTTGATAACTACCGTTCAATCTTCAGGTGGTGATCTCTCGCATCTTAATTATGAAATTGCCTTCTCATTCTTTATGTGAGAACATGCTATGTATGAAGTGCTACCACGCTTCATGCCCAGGCCTTGGTCACATTGATCACATGGAAACAGCTTTTCGGAGCAAGTAAATATTCCAGTGTTTTGGGCTATGGCAAGATACCCAGGTGAGTCTATACCTGGCTTAGTCTGTGAACTAGGAGGACAAGACGGAGAACTCACTTTCGATGAGGCTGTTGGTCAAGTAGCAGGTCAAGATTTCAAAGGACCAGGGGCACGACCCATCAAGTGCGATCGTCCTGTGGGAACTGTGTCGGTCCCCCCTCCCAACAACCTGCCCTTGCTTCAGCTTTTCTTAGTATAGTCAGAACAACGACTCCTAAAATTGCATATTCGAGCACCGGGAAATGAAGGACAGCTATTGGGACAATTGGGACACCCACCTCACAAGCTCCGATAAGACAGCATTGGGCCACTCTATGTTTTGAATCTTGACAGAACAATGCTGGCTTTGTAGTTTGTATGTGTTAATCTATCTTGGCAACTTGTTCTGTCGAAGGGTCCAGAATGTTGTTTTATTGGACAAAGTGTAGTTTCGCAAGGCAAAGTATTGAAAGTATTGATCCAATACCATACGGAAAGTCCACTGAAGTACTTTGTTTTACGCATGAATGAAACAAGTAAATGTATATTACACAAAACATTCGCCCTAAGCGAGTTTAGCTACAGCAGCACTTAGCAAATAGCTGAATATTGACTAAATGAATTCAACTTAAAAGACTTTTTTTTGTACAACTAATGTATGCACTAGACACTAATTGAAATAGAAGCGGCTTGAGTTTCATAATACTGAAACCTATGCTACTGAAGTACTTGTTAAAGACTACTGATGCGCGATGCCTGAAAAGAGACAGGCTTTAAAATGCACAGTTCTCATAGTAAAGTAGCTGTTGCCTCATAGCACAAGTAAATTCACAAACGCAAATGCAAGCCTTTCAGGAGAACCTCTGGTGAAGTTTGGATTTGGGGGTTTTAAAGTCTCTCTAGATAAATAAAGCAGCTGTTTAAGCAAATAACTCTAGGCAACAAACCTGTTTCCAGACAAATATTGCTTCTACTGGGCAAAATGTTGCTCAACCATGCGATACTCATTACATGCTGATTCTACCAATCTAGCAGTCAGTGAATATTCAATTATTATTGGGTGAGTACAAGATTTATTGAATATACACAGAATAAGACATAATGCTCAGTAAATGGTACTTGACTACAGAAAACTAATTCAAATTACGTACGAATGAAATACAATTTATATATTGTTTGCTTAGACAAGTACAATTTACATAGAAAAGCCTTGAAAAGCACAAATTTCAAAGAACCATACCATCCACCCAGTAAAGGCTACAGTACTGGGCATGGGAATGCGGGGTTTGGGGGCAGAACCAATGCTCAAACGCTCTTTACATGCTACTTGAATATGAAACTAACCCATTCATGTACCACCCATTAAAAACAGTACTCTTTATATACGATGCCTAGAAAAGTACAATTTGCATAGAAAAGCGTAGAAAAGCACAATTTTCTTAGAGGGAAGGGGGGGCTCAGGCAGGAATGGCAGTACGGGGACAAAAAAGCCACAAACGCACAAAAACCCACAAAAGGCTACACGAAAAGCTCAAATTAGCAAAAAGAACATAAAAGCCAAACAAATATATTTCAGGATTCTCCACAATATTCTCACGCAAAACCAAAAAAAGCAATATTTCAGGACTCTCCACCAAAACCGTACGGAAAATTCGTACGGAAAACCAAAAAAACAAACAAACCAAAAAAGACAAAAAAACAAAAAACAAAAAAAATCAGGGACTCTTTGAAACTAGGCCATCTGCTGGAAGAGTCCTGAAATATTACTTTTTTGGTTTTTTTGGTTCTTTTGGTTCTTTTGTTTTTTTGGGTTTTTTGGGGTTTTTTGGTTTTCCGTACGGATTTTCCGTACGGTTTTAGTGGAGAGTCCTGAAATATTGTTTTTTTAGGTTGTCCGTAGGACTGGAGAGTCCAGAAATATTGTTGTTGCTGGGGTTTTAAATTCTTTAACAGCGACAAAATGCAGAGAAAGTGCACTCCCACGGTCCCCCGTTTTGTATAATTTGGGTTGTAAGTCTGGTTATAATTGGTCAATAAGTACCATGAACCTTCAAGTAATTAGAGTTTAGGGTTTAGGGCTTAGGGTTTTAAAGTGCTAATCCGGTTTAGGGTTTAGGGTGCAACCTACGAAGGGACGCGCCGCCCCCCCCCCCCCCCCCCCCCAGGGCCTTCCAAGGACCCCCGAAGGCCCCCAAGACTTGGAACCTTCGTGGCACCTCCAGAATACTGCAATTTATTTGTTCAAGAACCCCCCCCCAAAAAAATATGTATATATATATATATACATATATCTTCTTCCTTGTAGTACCCTTCCAATCTTACCCTTTAATGATCCGTATATTGTAGAGGGAGTATTATTGCCCGTTTTTTTTGTGGGGGGGCGGGGGTGGTTCTTAAGCAAATGGTAGGAGATGACCTTGTGAGCCCTAAACCCTAAACCCTAAACCCTAAACCCTCAACCCTCAACCCTCAACCCTCAACCCTCAACCCTAAACCCTAAACCCTAAACCCTAAACCCTAAACCCTAAACCCTAAACCCTAAACCCTAAACTCCAACCCACAGCTTCAACGTGCACATCTCGACTGAGACGCCAGCGGGTCCGGCAGCACTGTGGTGGCCTGCGCGAGCCGGAAAATCCGGTCCCCAAACCCTACCAGAGTGAGGGTTGGGGTTTAGGGTTTGGGGTTTAGGGTTTAGGGTTTAGGGTTTAGGGTTTAGGGTTTAGGGTTCAGGGTTCAGGGTTCAGGGTTCAGGGTTCAGGGTTCAGGGTTCAGGGTTCAGGGTTCAGGGTTCAGGGTTCAGGGTTCAGGGTTTAGGGTTGGGATGTTCCCCCTTATACGAGCAGTCCTTGATAGGGATTATAATAGGGGGTGCTATAATCCCGATTCCGGACTGTGAGTACAAGGGGGAACGTCCCAACCTACAACCCCTTTACAAAGGCCCTTGATACAGGGTTGGTTATGGGGACTATAAGGCCTCATAGCCTAGCCTGGTATAAGAACCCCCACAAATCACTCTGGGACCCGTGCAAGTTACTGTACTTGAGATTGCTACGTCTTGCCCGAGCGCGCAGTGGCTCAGGGCACGCATCCTCACACACAGCTTCCGGGCTCGTACGGGCAATCCTGTGGGATGTTCCCCCTTCTGCTAGTAGGGAGTATATATAAGATGGGGGGGGTGGGGGGGTGCTATCATCCCTATTAAGGACTGTTAGTATAAGGGTTTAGGGTTTAGGGTTAAGGGTTTAGGGTTTAGGGTTTAGGGTCCCAGAGGATCCTGCTGAGGTTTAGCCCTCCGACCAGCCGCCTGGCCGCACCTGGACAGCAAGTATGTGTGGGACAAAAACGCACACTTTCCCTGCAAGGGTTCAGGGTTTAGGGTTTAGGATTTAGGGCTGAGGGTTTAGGATTTGGGGTCTAGGATTTAGGTTTTAGGGCTTGGGGTTTCGGGCTTAAGGCTTAGGATTTGGGATTCCTGCCGGCCTCGGCCGGATTCTTCGCCCAGGCTGGCTTCGGCAGTTCGCATGCCTGGCTTGGCGGGCCAAGAGTCGTATAGCGGCCTTGAGAATTGTCATTGGGCTTTGGGGTTATTATAGTACACTTATAAAGACAAGAGAATAATATTAGTAGTTCTTCCGGCCCCCAAAAGTAGGAACAAAAAGGGTGCGCTTCTTGTCTTCAAGGGGCTTGGGAGGGAAGCTGTGCCCCAAACAAGGGGAATAAGGGCCGACTCGGGGTCCGAGGAGGTGGGTTCGAAGGGTTTAGAACTTGGGGGTTTAGGGCTTGGGGTTTCGAATTTGGGGCTTAGGGTACGCATTTTGGGGCTCGGGGGCTCAGGGTTTAGAATTTGGGGCTTAGGGCTTAGGGCTGGGAGGTTAGAATTTTCGGCTTAGGCTGGGCTTCGGGGTTGAGGGGCTCTTGGGACCCGAGCCCGGTCGCTCGCGCACTGCACCCAGGCCTGGACGCGGAACATGATGGCGCCTCCCTTTCTCGTCGGCTTCGCCAAGGAAATCTGCGCGCAGGGGCGGGCAGGCAGGGGGTGTCAGGCATGTACAAAGACCCTAAACCCCAAAACCACAAAACCCCAAAACCCAGTATATCGGGACAGGGTTCTAAAAACCCTAAACCCTAAACCCTAAACCCTAAACCACTTCTGGCCCCAAACAACCAGAGTCGGGTCTTTGTAAAGGGTCCAGGGCTTTCGATTCAAGGACTGAGTGTCAATTGCCCAGCCATCGCTGCATTGGCTGGCGCGAAGGGGCCCTAAACCCCAAACCCTAAACCCCAAAAACCCCAAAAACCCCAAACCCTAAACCCTAAACCCCAAACCCCATAAACCCTATGAGAGCCCCAGAGGCCCCATACACCCTCTTAAAAAAGACTATAAGACCCAGTAAACCCAGCCCTCCGTGAACCCCAAACAGATATGAACCCACAGCCAAGCCCGAAACCCTAAACCCTAAACCCTAAACCCTAAACCCTAAACCCTGAACCCTGAACCCTGAACCCTGAACGGGCTAAACGCCCTAGACGTATCTGACGCCTCGTCGCCCTCCTTCACAGGTTCCGTCTTCCCACGCCTCGGCAGAGGGAATGTGGGGTTGGCATGATGCGTGGGGGGGGGGGGGGGGGTGCAGTGCAAGGTTTAGGGGTTTAGGGGTTTAGGGGTTCAGGGGCTTTACGGGTTTAGCGGTTTAGGGTTTAGGTTTTCCGCGCTTATGAGTTCTTCGTTTCTTCCTGTTTGTGGTTGAAGGTTCAAGGTTTAGGGCTTCAGCGACTCACGGTTTAAGGCAGGATTTGCTAGTGAGTTTAGGGCTTTGGGGGGGGGGGGGGGGTTTAGGGTTTAGGGTCTAGGGTTTAGGGGTTTGGGGTTCACTAGAAGTGCAGAGAATTTAAGGACGGGGGTTGGAGCTTCATCAACTAATACCAAAGCCCTAACCCGCACATCCCCACTCTCAACCCCAAACCCTATACCAGGGCTAGGTTTAGGGTTTGGGGCTTGGGGGTTTAGGGTTTAGGGTTTAGGGTTTAGGGTTTCGGGGGCCCTATAAAAGCTAAAGTCTCATGGCAAAATGAGGATTATGTTGGGATTGAGGGTTAAAAACTGCTTAAAGCATTATGTTCAAACCTACCCCTCATACCCAAAGCCCTAAAACCCTAAATCCTGAACCCTAAACCGTAAACCCTAAACCCTGAACCCTAAACCCCAAAGCCCGATGCCCCATCTGTTGGGTTCAGAGCTTGCTGCGGAGGGTGTGATCCTTGCTTTGAAGGCCCAGGCTACCGTTGGGACCGATTCTGGGTTTTGAGGGTCGGGGGGTAGTCAGGGGTGTTGGAGGGTTTAGGGGGTTCAAGGGGGTTTTAGGAAGCTTTTGGGAGTTTTCAGGGGGTTTAGGGCTCTAACCCTAAACCCTAAACCCTGAACCCTAAGTTTACCCTAAACCCTAAACCCTAAACCCTAAACCCTAAACCCTAAACCCTAAACCCTAAACCCTAAACCCTGAACCCTAAGCCGCGAACTGCAAAATCAGCAAGCGCCCTCCACCCCTAAACCGGAGCTTCTCTAGGCTGCCCAGTAACCTAGGCTTAAAAAGGGTGCCCTTTTTTGCTTAAAGGGGTTTAGGGTTTAGGGTTTAGGGTTTAGGGTTTAGGGTTTAGGGTTTAGGGTTTAGGGTTTAGGGTTTAGGGTTAGGGTTTAGGGTTTAGGGTTTAGGGTTTGGGGCCCCCCAAAAAGGGAATAAGGGTACTACTGGGCATCCTAGTTCTTTAAAGGAGCTGGTCCAGGGCCGGGACCCGACGCGCACGCCGTTGATGAAGGTCCTGAGGCGGGTTACCCCTATGGTTCCCCAATGTGGATTCAAGGTTTAGGTTTGGGGACTTTAGGGTTTAGGGTTTAGGGTTTAGGGTTTAGGGTTTAGGGTTTAGGGTTTAGGGTTTAGGGTTTAGGGTTTAGGGGGGTAGAAGGTTGGGGGTGAGCTCGCCGAAGTACTGTGTTGAGCTATGGCGGACTTGTTGTCCCAAGCGCCCTCGCGCTTGCCCTCACTTTCCTAGTCTCCCTGCCTGCATCACCTGTCATCACGTAACAAAATCGTACCCTAAACCCTAGGTTTAATGTCTAAACTCCACACCCTAAACCCTAAGCCCCAAACCTGAACCCAAAACCCAAACCCCAAACCCTGCACCCTGGACCCTGGGTTTAGGGTCCACAGCTCGCGATGGTTCAGGGTGCGGGGCGCTTAGGGAAACTATTTCCCAAGACCGTCTCATGGAGCCTTGCAGAAGTGGGGGGGGGGTTTAGGATGTTAGGGGTACCTTCTTGGGGTCTTTGTCATAACGGGATCCGATTGTTTGGGGGTCTATATTAGGGGTCTCCTTCTTATCCTAAACCCTAAACCCTAAACCCTAAACCCTAAACCCTAAACCCTAAACCCTAAACCCTAAACCCACCAGCGCCCGAAGGAAAAACAAAATGCCCTTGCACCCGGAAGACTTGCCTTCATCCTGACGACTGAACCAACTGAACCCACATAGCAACCCTAAACCCTAAACCCTGAACCCTGAACCCTAGAACCCCGCTGAAAAACCCTCAGAGTCCTCAAGCCCCGGACCCCAGAGCCTTCCTGAAACCCGAAACCCGAAACCCGAAACCCTAAACCCTAAACCCGAAACCCTAAACCCTGAACCCTGAACCCTAAACCCTAAACCCAAACCCTACCTAAACCTGCACCTGAAACCCTAAGCCTCTGCCCCGGATCCCAGCTCCAAACGCCGCGGGCCCCCATCCCAACCGCAGACTTCCGCAAGCACATGAGGTTTCGTTTTGAGGGTTTAGGGTTTTGGGTTTTGAAATCAAGGGTTAAGGGCGAGGGCCGAGGATTCCCCAGCAACGATGGATTTTTTGCAAAGGGATGACCCTCTCTCCCCTCGGAAATAAGGAAACATGCCATACGCTCTGAACCTTAGAACCCCAAAAGCCTACAGTAAACCCCAAACCAAAAACATGGAACCCGACGAGCTTAGGGCTTCGGGTTTTGAGGTTTAGGATTTAGGGTTTTAGGGTTTAGGGCTTGTACCAAAACTGCGGCTGACTTCCGCGCTTGACGCCTGACACTAGACCCAAAACAGCGAGATATGCCGTAACTCCTAAAACCAAGAGACTGTGGCCAGCTCCACAAAAAACAAGGCTCGCGAACCCTCGGCTCTAATGCCCGCGCCGGCAATGCCTACGCTGGTACCAACTAGCCGGCTACAACCTGCCGCCTGCCACTGCTTCGAGCTGTTGGCGCACTGCTTATTCAGGATTCTGGGGTTGCAAGTGTGGGACAGTGTAGAGGAGTTTCAGGGCTCGGAACTCTCAGCGTCCTCCTCCTGCACTTCTTCCTTGCAGTCAGATCACGCAGCCATGCAGGGACAGCAAATGTCGTCGCGTCGTAAAAACGTCGTCGTCGTATAAATAAAGTCGCGTCGTCGTCGTAACTGACGTGAAACGTCCTCCTTGACATCCTGGACCCTACCCTAAACCCTAAACCCTAAACCCTAAACTTTTGCATGGCAGGTTCAGTGCGCTTTCGGGGTCCATTGCCCTCCTACCAACAGCACCACGACCCAGCTCCAGAAAAATATGGAAGATTCCGTTTAGGAGTTTGGCAGCCAGGGTTGGGGGTGGAGGGTTTAGGGTTTAGGGTTTAGGGTTTAGGGTTTAGGGTTTAGGGTTTAGGGTTTAGGGTTTAGGGTTTAGGGTTGAGGGTTCAGAGCTGCTGGAAATGACGTGACCGTGAACCTGAAACCCAATTCACAACCACTGCCTCGCCTAGTTGATGGCTTCGGACGTTGGCTCCAGGATTGCGTATAATCTCCGCTGCAGTTTCAACCCTAAACCCCAAACCCTAATGACCCTAAACCCTACAGCCCTAAGCATCCGCAAAAGAGAGCCGGGCAACTGAAGTGCTGTAGAACAATCGAACCTTTTGGACAAAGGACTGCAAGAAGCTATTTCAAGAAGAGAGTAGCCGTTACGCTACGTACAAATATGTAAACCCTAAACTTAACCCTAGGTGTAAACCCTAAACCCTAAACCCCACACCCCAAACCCTAAACCCTAAACCCTAACCCTAAATTCGTGAATCTAGAGAGTTCTCAAAGCCCCATAACCCTGACTAGAAGCTTGACACCCAACCTTGAAAAAAAACAAGTACGGGGTTTAGGGTTTAGGGTTTGGAGTTTGGGGTTTGGGGTTTGGGGTTTCAGGGTTCTGTTCCCTAGCTGACAAAGACCCATGAGCCTTTGATCCCAAAACCCATGAACCTGCAAGTACACTCAAAATGAGCCCCCCCCCCCTCCCCCCCTAAGCTCTTAGCAACGAATCCTAAACCCCAAACCTCTTTACCCTAAGACTCTGAAGCTGCGACAATCCCAAATATACCCTTTAAACCCTGACCCTAATGAACTCCTAACACTACAACAAACCCTTAACCGTGACAATGCATAAGTCCCAGAACAGCCCGCCTAAAAATGCCGACAAGCCCCCGAAATCCCCGAAACCCCCTAAATCGCCAAAATCCCCTAAACCCCTTGAACCGCCTAAGCCCTACAAACCCACAAACACCGAATACAACGCCCGGTCCCGTTGCCACTCAAGTCTTCTAGTAGCGTCGCCCGCTCACCCGCACGAAACACCTCAGCACATCGGTCGCTTTTTGGGCCCAAGGGTGACCTGAGTTCAGTTTAGGCTTAGGGCTTAGGGCTTAGGGCTTAGGGCTTAGGGCTTAGGGCTTAGGGCTTAGGGCTGAGGGCTTAGGGCTTAGGGCTTAGGGCTTAGGGCTGAGGGCTGAGGGCTTAGGGCTTAGGGCTTAGGGCTCAGGGCTTAGGGCTTAGGGCTTAGGACTTGGGGCTCAGGGTCTAGGGTGCAAGGCGCAGGGCTTAGGGCTGAGGGCTCAGGACCCAGGGCTTAGGGCTTAGCAGAGGCTCAGGGCTTAGAGCTGAGTGTCTTTGCAAGTGAGGCTAAAGGCATGCAACAAGTATCGCCCGAGGCTCGAGCCAGGCAGAAAGAACCACAGGAGAGAAAACATGCGGTGCGAGACCGAGCGCCACAAGCTCATCAACATGCCACGGCTTTTCAGAAGCTCTGCCCGTGGCAAAGCGCCCGCGCGATCTTCGTGCCACATAGCGAAGCGGACAGCCCTGGCCGAAAAATCGCCTGCATGGAGACACCATGCCGAGTGATGGTCGTCTGGCTCAAGGCCAGGCAACTGCCAGAACTTGAGCAGTTGAGGGGGTCCATGTGGCGTTGTAAGGCGCAATAATACGAGCAGGGGCAGGCTTTGGCAGAGAAGGCGTTTCAGACAAGAAGTGCTCCATGGATATGTTTCTCGTTAGCTTGTAAAGTGAGTGGACTTCGGGATATGTTTTGGCTTGCTTGAAAAGTGAATGGACTTCGGGATATGTTTTTCGTTAGCTTGTAAAGTGAGTGGACTTGGAGAAATATATGTGTTTCGCTTGGTTGGCCGTTATCATCCCCTCCGTCCCCCCCCCACCCACCCCACCGCCCTTCTTGAAGCACAGAAGCGGCGAGGGAGACCTTCATCTGAGTGGAACAGGGGTTTCAAAAAGGTATTACTGTAACAAAAGGGCAGAGAGGCTTAACAGCTAAAAAACGGGCACAGGGGCCTTTAAAAACAAAAAAAGGGGGGGGTTCCTTACGACTTAGCCCTAACCCAAGACGCTAAAGGCCTTAGACCCAAAACCCAAACCCAACAAGCCGTCAACCCCAACACCTAAACCCAAACCTTGACAAATTCTCGATCTAAGCAAAAGCCAACAAGCCCTGATCCCCAAACCCCTCAAGCCTTCTACCCTTCCACCTCTATTCCCTCCACCCCCCAAACCCCTAAACCCCTTTTGCCCTAAACCCTAAACCCTAAACCCTAAACCCTAAACCCCAAACCCTAAACCCTAAACCCTTCCTCCCCCCGAAGGCGCAGAGGCTCCTGCGGATTTGAGTCGACAGTGCTCGCCACTGACATAGGCGTAGGCCTGCAAGAGCCCTAGGGTTCAGGGCTTAGGGTAGCTCGCTTAAGCTTAGGGTTTAGGGTTTTGGGTTGAGGGTTTTGGGTTGAGGGTTCAGGGTTCAGGGTTCAGGGTTTCAGGGTTCAGGGTTTCAGGGTTCAGGGTTTCAGGGTTCAGGGTTTAGCTAGGGCTTAGGGCTTATGCTTTGGGGTCTAGGGTTTAGGGTTTAGGGCTCAGAGTCAGCAGGAATTGTTTAGGTCCCGTATCATTCCCGGTTCCCCAATATCCAGTTTGTTCAGCGTATGTTTCTGAAAGGGAGTAAGGGTGCTACTGGGTGTCCTAGACCCGTAACCCCTAAACCCTAAAACCAGGATCCCTGCCGAGTCTGCCATTATGATGCGGCCCTCAACCCTAAACCCTTCGAGTGGGTATCAGGGTTTAGGGTTTAGGGTTGGTTTAGGGTTTAGGGTTATCGATAAAGGGAGCCTAAGCGGATACGTTTGGTAAATGTACTGCATGACTTGAGCAAAGAGCAATAGAAGCCCGCGCGTGCAGAAGATTGAGGGGGAACGAGGTGCTCAGGCTCTCACTCTTGGGCCCCAAAAACTGAAAACCCCAGGTTCCCGAAGCCCTGAACCTCGAGCCTACCTATGCAGACCCTCACTAAACCCTAAACCCTAAACCCTATAAACCCTATAAACCCTATAAACCCTATAAACCCTATAAACCCTATAAACCCTATAAACCCTATAAACCCTATACACCCTATAAACCCTATAAACCCTATAAACCCTATAAACCCTATAAACCCTATAAACCCTATAAACCCTATAAACCCTATAAACCCTATAAACCCTATAAACCCTATAAACCCTATAAACCCTAAAACCCTAAAACCACTAAACCCTAAACCCTAAACCCTAAACCCTCAACCCCTCAACCCCTCAACCCCCTCAAGCCTGCCTCGGGCAGGTTCAATTGGCAAGAGGCCTTCCGGCCGATGCTGAACCTAGGTGGGCTGGGATGAGTTGCGCTTAGGGCCTTACAAGCTTTAGTAGGAAACCCTGAACCCTAAACCCTAAACCCTAAACCCCAAACCCTAAACCCTACACCCTACACCCTAAACCCTAAACCCTAAACCCTAAACACTACCTCAAGTGTTTGGTTGCTCCGTCCTTAGGGTAGGGAAGGTGGCGAACCGACTGTCCCAAATCCCCTATGGAGCTCTGGCAAATCGCATGCCATCTAATTAGGGGTTTAGGGTTTAGGGCTTCGGGATTTAGGGTTTAGGGCTGAGGAATTTAGGGTGTTGGGCGTCGGGATTTAGGGCTTCATTACGGGTTTTTGGCTCTCGGCCAGAGGGTCTTTTAAGGGCTGAGGGCTTTGGGTTGGGGTGTTTAGGGGCTCTCTAATAGATGATGGTCCCAGATCACGAAGCCATTCCCCATCACGCCCGCTTGACAGGCATCGGTGTTAGCCCCCTTTTTCGACGATTCGATAGCAACGCGTTCAAACGAGGCAGAGGTCCTCGCCTTGTTTCACATCTGGCAGTCCCATGTAAACGTACGTCCCCAGTCGACACGTCAGGTACTCCTTAAGCTTTGCGTTGTCAGGGAGACCTCTTGTCCGCAATCGTCATGAAGGGACCCATGTTGACACGGGTGCCATCGTTGCACGTTTGCATGCCAAACTTCGTGTGGTTGAACGGATAGGGCTTACAGCCAGACGGCAAGATCGACCGGTCCAGCTCTACGTCGCCATGGCCAAAGGTGCCAATGCCTCAAAGTGCCCATATCCTCCAGCCGACTGACATTGCCTGAGCGCTTATCATTCCCATTTGCATAGGATGTTTCGGGGATGCTTCGGGGTTTTCTTTATCTGGGATGCCTTTTTGGACGCCTTGGGCTTGGTGCATGTTAGCCTCCTGCTGCCAGATTTTCAAAAGCCGAGAAAATAAAAAAAAATGTTGCCAAACAATGACATGTTGACTTCTTAATCCCCTGAGTGTTCTTGTTGCTACTACTACTACTGCTGTTGCTTAAAAATACCTCCACTCCGGGAGCGTGACAGGTTTAGGGTGTCGGGTTCAGAGCCGGTCGCGGTGGTAGCCCTAAAGCCGTGAGGTTCCTGAGGCTGCGAGGCCGGTACCCTCAACCCCCCTAAACCTGGCGACCCTAACCACTTAAACCCTTGAACGAAGCCCCCCGTCCCAGGCCGGTGTGTCCATGTGACTGAAACAAGCTCTAAACCTAAACCCTAACCCTAAATTTACTGTAGTTGTAACCGGGTTCTTTAATTTAGCAAGACAGAGAAAAAAGACCTGAACCCCAAAAGAAAAGCCAAAGCACTCACCTGACCCCCCCCCCCCACCTAGAAAGGTTCAGCGCATTTGGGAGCTTTTAGGGTTCTAGAGGTGTAAAAAATTTAGGGTAGCTACATGATCCCTCCCTTAAAAGTAGGGACGCTTACGTACCTCTTACATGCCCATAAACCCAAGCCATACATCAGAACCCTGTAAAGGAGGTAAGGGACCATACTAAGGGCCCCTATGAAGCTACACATAGAGTTTTCCACGGCGCCGATACCTTTTACCCGAATCCCCTAAACCCTAACTTTGTAACCCCGTAACCACGTTACGATGCGGGTGCGCTTTCCGGGGGCGTAGGTTACTTTATCAGGGACATAGAACCCCCAAAAACGGGTACAAGGGTAGCACTGGGCACTGAACTACCCTCAACCCTAAACAAATCCTAAGACCCTAAACCCTAAAAAGGTGCAACAGGGTACCACTGGGCTACCCTAAACCCGAACAAAAAGCCTAAACCCTAAGAACCCTAAACCCCCAAAACCCTAAACCCTAAAAACCCAAAAAACCCCTGAAAGCCCTGAAAACCCTTGAAAACCCTAAAAAACCTTTAAAAAAACCTGAAATAACCCTTAAAAAACCCTTAAAAAACCCTAAAACCCTAAAACCCTAAAAACCCTAAACCCTCAACCCGAAAGGCGGCGTTGTGGGATTTGGAGGCCCAGTCCAAGGAGCTGCCCCAGACCCGCTTCTGGGAGCCTCAGAGCAGGGTTTAGGGTTTAGGTTATACCAGATATCAGCCTCTTTAACTGAGGATATGTAAAAGTATGTAGGGCATTACGTCGGAACCTATGTAGTGAATGACGTCGGAAGTCACGTAAATCGTTAGGGTCAAGTCGAAAAGAAGCGCAGGGTTTGCAGGCCCAGGCCTGGCACAAAGGTTTCTGTTGCCCTTCGGCTCTACAACACCGTAGAGCACCCCTTCGTCTCGAAGGCCGCCGGCATCCCCTGGCACACTTTCGCGGGCCAAAAGCGCGCCTGGAGCTGGAGATTCCAGCTTTTCGTACGCCTGGCACAGAGGTTTCTGTTGCCTTTTGGCTCTATGTGTAGGTAGAGCCACCACACAGCGTCCCTTCGTTTCGAAGGCCGCCAGCATCCCCTGGCGCACTTTCGCGGGCCAAAAGCGCGCCTGGAGCTGGAGATTCCAGCTTTTTGCATGCCTGGCACACAGGTTTCTGTTGCCCTTTGGCTCTATAACACTGTAGAGCATCCGTTCGTTTCGAAGGCCGCCAGCATCCCCTGGCGCACTTTCGCGGGCCAAAAGCGCGCCTGGAGCTGGAGATTCCAGCTTTTCGCATGCCTGGCGCAAAGGTTTCTGTTGCCCTTTGGCTTAATAACGCCGTAGAGCATCCCTTCGTTTCGAAGGCCGCCAGCATTCTTTGGCGCACTTTCGCGGGCCAAAAGATTCTTAGACTATGGGTAAAACGTAGCACCCATGGAATTTGTTGATTAGAGAAAAGTAGTTTCAGAACTCGTTGTGTCGAAGAACCAAAGTCTCGACTTTCAGAGGAAAGTAAAATTGTTTCTTCATAGACCACCTCCTGTTTCATCTGGAATAACCACATACTTCCATTTATGCCACGATGATCACGATGTTGTAAAGCATTCATATGGTTACATTGCAGTTGCTATATGGTGCTTTTTTGGGTGGCTGCAAAACGGTTTTAAACGGTTTTGGGGCACCGTAAATGGGGTCAAAAATCCAAAACTATTCAAAACTATTAAAAACGGTTTTAAAACGGTTTTGCCGGCACACTGGGGCGCTCCAAAACGGTTTTAAACGGTTTTGGGGCAACCCTTTTTGTACTCTTCAAGATACACGAAAAGTGGCTCCGCAGCCAAGTTTCACCAGCCTAGAGCAACACACCTGCATAAACCCTAAACCCTAAACGACGTAAACCCTGAAACCCAGCCCCGAAGCGCAAGCCCTCCAACCAACCTGTTTAATGACCACCGCCAGGCGATGGTCATTAAACCCTAAACCCTTTCCCTTTTAAGGTGGGTTTAGGGGGTTTAAGGGTTCAGGGTTGGAGGACCTAACCCCTAAAGCCTAAGCAGCCGCACCGCGGCCGACATGGAGCAACAGTGCTTAAACCTAAGCCGCTTAGCCCAAAATTCCTAAACCCGAGACCTAAACCCAAGGTTGGCTAAGAGCCCTGACACTGTTTAATGACCACCGTCAGGCGATCCTAGAAGCCTAAACCCCAAAACACCTAGAAACCCTAAACCCCAGCCCCGAAGCGTAGGCCCTCCAACCTTGTTAATGACCACCGCCAGGCGATGGCCATTAAACCCTAAACCCGAGCCCCAAACCCGAGATCTAAACCCAAGGTTGTCTAAGAGCCCTGACACCCTGTTTAATGGCCACCGCCAGGCGATGGGGCAACCCTCTTTGTACTCTTCAAGATACACGAAAAGTGGCTCCGCAGCCAAGTTTCACCAGCCTAGAGCAACACACCTGCATAAACCCTAAACCCTAAACGACGTAAACCCTGAAACCCAGCCCCGAAGCGCAAGCCCTCCAACCAACCTGTTTAATGACCACCGCCAGGCGATGGTCATTAAACCCTAAACCCTTTCCCTTTTAAGGTGGGTTTAGGGGGTTTAAGGGTTCAGGGTTGGAGGACCTAACCCCTAAAGCCTAAGCAGCCGCACCGCGGCCGACATGGAGCAACAGTGCTTAAACCTAAGCCGCTTAGCCCAAAATTCCTAAACCCGAGACCTAAACCCAAGGTTGGCTAAGAGCCCTGACACTGTTTAATGACCACCGTCAGGCGATCCTAGAAGCCTAAACCCCAAAACACCTAGAAACCCTAAACCCCAGCCCCGAAGCGCAGGCCCTCCAACCTTGTTAATGACCACCGCCAGGCGATGGCCATTAAACCCTAAACCCGAGCCCCAAACCCGAGATCTAAACCCAAGGTTGTCTAAGAGCCCTGACACCCTGTTTAATGGCCACTGCCAGGCGATGGCCATTAAACGCCTAAACCCTAAACCCTTTTGTTTAATAACCACCGCCAGGCGATGGCCATGAAACGCCTAAACCCCAAACCCTTTTGTTTAATGACCACCGCCAGGCGATTGTCATTAAACCCTCAACCCTCAACCCTGTGTTTAATGGGCGCCCCAGAGCGGCCATTAAACTCCTAAATTGCAGCACCACCCCTCCCCCCCCCACCCCCCACTCCGGGCCTAAGGCTTAAAAACCAAGCGATTTTGTATCAATTGGCTCCTGTAAGCAATCACGAAAAGGTTCACGCAAATTTTCTATAACACAAAGTGGTGTGTGATAGAAAATTTACGTGAATCTTTACGTGATTGCTTACAGGAGCCAATTCATTTACGTGAACATTTACGCGATACCCTACGTGACTTCCGACGCCAATTTGCTTGCCTGACATTTGCCCCAACTTAAAGAGGCTGATATCTGGTATAAGGTTTAGGGTTTAGGGTTTAGGGTTTAGGGTTTAGGGTTTAGGGTTTAGGGTTTAGGGTTTAGGGTTTAGGGTTTAGGGTTTAGGGTTTAGGGTTTAGGGTTTAGGGTTTAGGGTTTAGGCAGGGTCTGGAGTTTTTTGGGAGCTCGGGGGTAGAATTCAGGGTTTTAGGGGTTCGGGGGTTCTAGGGGGGTTTATGTGATTGGACTACGTAAGCCTAAACCCTCACCAAGCCCCAAACCCCTATCCCGAAACGCTAAACCCTAAACCCTGAGCACCTTCAAGCCCCTTCAAGCCCCCTAAACAATGCCTACGACCCCCAAAATCCCCGAAGCTAACCCTAAACCCTAAACCCTAAACCCTAAATTGACCCGAAGGTGGCCTCCATGGACCTCCGAGCCCCTCCTGGCAAGCGCTTCGGGGGAGGGTTTGGGGTTTGGGGTTTAGGGTTTAGGGTTTAGGGTTTGGGGTTTAGGGTTTAGGGTTTAGGGTTTGGGGTTTAGGGTTTAGGGTTTGGCGTTTAGGGTTTGGGGTTTGGGGTTTAGGGCTAGCTTTCTGAAGGCTCGGGGCGGGGGGGGGGGGGGGGGGTTCAGGGCCTCAGCGCTTCAGTTTGTTTCTTAATCGGGCTTAAAATTGTGGTTTAGGGTTTGGGGTTTTATGGTGTTGGGGTCTTAGGGCTGAGGGTCTCTTCCAGCCTCTTGGAAAATCTTACCTTTCCAACCACGGAGTAGCTCTGCTATTGCAATCCACCGAAGGCACCCAACCAAAAACAAGGCTCATGGTACTTATTAACCAATTATAGCTGTACTTATAACCCACACATATTAGGGCACTTGAGGGGCTTATAAGTGGGTTACCCTGAACCTCCAAGTAATCTGCATCCGAACGTTCAAGTTTGTTGGCTCAATAAAACAAACCCCGTCTGTAAAGACCCCGGGGTTTGCTAGGGTTTAGGGCTTAGGGTTTGGGGCTTGGGGTTTGCGGTTTGGGGTTTGGGGTTTAGGGTTCAGGGGTTAGGGTTGAGGGTTTAGGGTTCAGGGTTTAGGGCTAAGGGTTTAGGGTTTAGGGCTTGGGGCTTAGGATCCCCTTAGAACCTTAATAACAATACTATTTAATTCCCTTGGGCTTTATCAAAGAACAATATAGTTCCTAAGCCCCAAAACCGAAACCCTGAACCCTAAAGCCTAAAGCGCAATGCCTAATGCCTAATGCCTAAACCCTAAACCCTGAAACCTAAACCTCAAACCCTAAAGCCTAAAGCCGAAAGCCTAAAGCCTAAACCCTACAGCCTAAAGCCTAAACCCTAAACCCTAAACCCTAAAGCCTAAACCCGAATCCCGAAAGCCTAAAGCCTAAAGCCTAAAGCCTAAAGCCTAAAGCCTAAAGCCTAAAGCCTAAAGCCTGAGGCCTAAAGCCTACAGCCTAAACCCTAAAGCCTAAACAAACCCTAAAGCCTAAACCCGAAACCCTATACCCTAAAGCCTAAAGCCTAATGCCTAATGCCTAATGCCTAAACCCTAAACCCAAAAGCCTAAACCCCAAACCCTAAAGCCTAAAGCCTAAAGCCTGAAGCTAAAGACTAAGGCCTAAGGCCTAAAGCCTAAAGCCGAAGCCTAAAGCCTAAACCCTAAAGCCTAAAGCCTAAAGCGAAATGCCTAAACCCTAAAGCCTAAAGCCTAAAGCCCAAACCCTAAAGCCTAAACCGTAAACCCGAAACCCCAAACCCTAAACCCTAAAGCCTAAAGCCTAAAGCCTAAAGCCAAAGCCAAAAGCCTAAAGCCTGAAGCCTAAACTCTAAACCCTGAACCCTAAACCCTAAACCCAAGGCCTAAACCCTAAACCCCAAACCCTAAAGCCTGACACCTAAACCTGTGACTCTCCCAGCTGACGGGGCTCAGAGAGGCCCAGGCCCGGAGAACCTTGAGTCCCAGCTCCTAGGTTTAGGGCACCCTAAACCCTGAACCCTGAACCCTGAACCCTAAACCCTAAACCCTGAACCCTAAATCCTGAACCCTAAACCCTAAACCCTCAACCCTAAACCCAGGGCACCTGGAGGGCCACCAGCTGAAGTGCGTCCGGCATGGCGCGCGTGAATTACTGAGGGGGCGCTCCAAGGAGCGCAAGGGGGATAATTTTGGGCGGCTTGTGGGGGGGGGCCCTAGGGTTTAGGGTTTAGGGTTTAGGGTTTAGGGTTTAGGGTTTAGGGTTTAGGGTTTAGGGTTTAGGGTTTAGGGTTTAGGGTTTAGGGTTTAATTTAGGGTTTAGGATATCTTGGTCCTGGCTTAGGTATGCAGAGAGGCTACGTAATGTAAGGTGCAGCTTCAGCTTCGGAGGGTGCCCTTAAACGGAATGTCTGAGGCTTAGGGTATTGGGGGTGTGTTGAAAAATGGGGGGGGGGGGGGTATATACCTTATTGGGATCCTTACTACAAGGGAATCCTCTAGGGGGCCCCTTAGTTTCGTAAACTTCCCACATCGGTGCTTCCGCGCAAGATTCAGGTGCGAGGTTCATTTCGGAGGCTTCAGGGCTCGCGCTTCTCGGGCGCTTACAAACCCCCCAAACCCCACACCCTAATCCCTGGACCCAAAACCCTAAACCCCAAACCCCAAACCCTAAACCCTAAACCCTACAACCCTAAAACCCCAAAACCCTAAAACCCAAAAAACCCTAAAACCCTAAAACCCTAAACCCTACCCGCGGGCTGACCCCGCTAAGGAAGCTTGAGGACAAGGACGGCGAAGCCATGCGAACATGCCTCGAACCCCCCCCCCCCCCAATTAAAAAAAGAAAAGAGAAAAAACTTCATGGCCCCTAAGCCTACATCAAGCTTTGGGCCTTTGGGGTGTAAGGTTAAGGGTTTAGGGTTTAGGGCTTAGGGCTTAGGGCTTAGGGCTTAGGGTTTAGGGTTTAGGGTTTAGGGTTTAGGGTTTAGGGTTTAGTGTTTAGGACTTGGTCTGCCGAAAAGAGCTAATCCCCAACTACCCCTCCAAACTACTTGGAGCTTACACCACCAGTTACAACTAGACTTATCAGGCGCCCCTAAGTCTCCTAAGTAGGTTGGTTATAAGTAGACTTATAATTTGGGGGTGATAAGTACCCATGGCCTATGAACCTCCAAATACCCCCCCCCCCCACCCCCCCACCCTCTTCCTACCCGAAATATGGCTGAACACTAAGGACTCAAGGCTATTCGGGGCCTTGTTTCTGGTGGGGTGTAGTTTGAGGGTTCCCTAAACCCTGAACCCGAAAGCTTCTATACAAACGAGGGAGACCGAAAACTGTCTCTTGCATACCCTAAATCAGCCAGGTGATAAATATCAAGCCTGAAACCTTGAACCCTACTTGGAGGTTCATGGGTGCTGATAACAAAAATATAAATATAAATATAAATAAATAAATATATATATATATATATATATAAGTCTACTTTATAACCTACTTAAAACACTTAGGGGGCTTGTAAGTATAGTTATAGCTGGGGGTTATAAGGATCCATGAACCTCCAAGTAGACCCTTTCAGTGTCGACTTTTGCCTGCTCTTCGTCGGGTGCCTGACTTGCAGTACGCCAAGGACAGCATCGATGCGCTGGAGCATGAGAAGTATCCGCGCCTTAAGGACAAGCTGGGTAGAAAGCCCAAGGACCTTAAACCCTAAACTCGACAAGATCTAAACCCTAACTCCTAAACCCTAAACCCTACACCAACCCTAAACCCCAAACCCTAAACCCTAAACCCTAAACCCTAAACCCTCCGCAATGCCAGACTCCAGTGCCGCATCGCGGCTGCCCACCGCGGGCGTGAGAGGCCGAGCTGCCAGGTGGGTTCGGCCAGCCAGGGTTTAGGGTTTAGGGTTTAGGGTTTAGGGTTTAGGGTTTAGGGTTTAGGGTTTAGGGTTTAGGGTTTGGGGTTTAGGGTTTAGGGTTTAGGGTTTAGGTTTTAGGGTTTAGGGTTTAGGGTTTAAGTGTTTTGTGTTCATCCTGGGAGCCTCCGAACCCACGTCGCAGACCTACCTCGGCCACTCAGATGTCAGCGAAGTTGATCTCCTCCTGTACCTAGGGCTTACACGGGTTTTGGGTTTAGGGTTTAGGGTTTTGGGTTTCGCGCGCCAAGGGCTTGTAAGGTTTAGGGCTTGGGGCTCAGGATTCTTATGTTGTTTTGCAAGCTGAGGATACAACGTGTGCCCTTCCTTTTGTAGGGCTTCAATATAATATGAGTTCCAAACCCCAAGACAAGGAAAATAGGGCAGTACTTCATTGTTTCTTTGTGGGTGCTTGCCGCTGGTTTGGGGGGTTTACAGCTTCTTGTTCTTTGGCTTTAGCGCTTGCAGGGATCAGTAGCGTGTACGGCCTCTCCCCCCGCAGCTTGGATGTCTCTGAGCAAACCCCCGAAAGCCCTGAAGACGATTGAAAAGGCTTTGGGCTTCAAAGGCTCTGGTCGCGATGTGCAGCTAAGTCCTAAACAACCCTAAACCCTAAACCCTAAACCCTAAACCCTAAACCCTAAACCCTAAACCCTAAACCCGAAATCCAGAGAGTGCATTGAACAACAAGCTTTTCGCCTAGCCGTATGGGATCGAAGGGTTGGGGAGATCGGAGCGGGCCAAGAAACCCGAGACACCCTACAGAAACACACAAAAAGAAACTAATGACCCGAAAAGATCTGAAACTCAAAAAACAGACACACAAAAAGCTCTAAGGACACCCGAGAAATCTCCAAACCCTAAACCCTAAAGCCTAAACCCTTAACCCTAAACCCTAAACCCTCCAAAAGCCCTAACCTCCACGCCGGCCTTCGTCAGGTCTACGTCCGACTCGCCGGAGTCTTCCTGCACCCAAAGGTTTAGGGTTTAGGGTTTAGGGTTTAGGGTTTAGGGTCTAGGGTTTAGGGTTTAGGGTTTCGGGTTTAGGGTTCAGGGTCTAGGGTTTCAGGGGCTCTTCAGGCTCTTGGGGCTTTTACAAGCCTCTTGGGGGTTTTTGAAGGGTTAGAAGGGTTCTTCGGGTTTCTTCGGGCTTATGGGGCTTGAGGGGAAACAGTGTGTAGGGTCCTGAGTTGATTTTTCTTGCGTGCTGGGGAAAGGGGGGGGGGGGAGGGAGGGTTGAGGCTGAGAGTTGAAATGGCTTGAGGGCTCAAACTGGCTGGTTCTCAGTAGGGAATTCCCTACTAAGAACCAGGGAGTAAAGCTAAGCCGACAACCCCAATCACTATTTGGAGTGTATCCGTATACATATCTCTACGAATAAAACCACTCATGAACCTTCAAGCAAGGCTTCGCGCATTCATGTTGAGGGCTACGGTGCTTTGGGTTTCGGGGTTTAGGGTTTCAAGTGTTTATGGGCCCTCGTTCAGGCGTTCGCCACTGCTGACACACAAGAACTGCCCAAAAAGCGCTTGTTTGGGGCTTCGACGACGTTGGGGAATCTTGAGGTTGAAATCTGGTTTAGGGTTTGGAACCCTAAACCCTAAACCCTAAACCCTAAACCCTACACCCTACACCCTACACCCTACACCCTACACCCTAAACCCTAAACCCTAAACCCTAAACCCTAAACCCTAAACCCTAAACCCTGTGAAAATAAGACAAACCCTCGAAGCCGGATCGCCTTCTCATCCGCCTCAGGCTCCTGGCATCCGGGGTGCGTTTTAAAGACTTTCAGGGTCGGGCAGAAGGACTGCAGGGCTTGGAGTTTCGGATTTGGGGTTTGGGGGTTTAGGGTTTAGGGTTTAGGGTTTAGGGCTTAGGGTTTAGGGTTTAGGGTTTAGGGTTTAGGGTTTAGGGTTCAGGGTTCAGGGTTCAGGGTTCAGGGTTCAGGGTTCAGGGTTTAGGGTTTAGGGTTTAGGGTTTAGGGTTTAGGGTTTAGGGGGGCTTCTGACGGCGAGTGCGCCCCCAGTGCACCTGACTCAACAAACGTGCTGAGGTGGGAGTGTACGAAAATAGGGGACTATAATCGCCGCCCCCCCCCCCCCCCCAGGGACCCCTAAACCCTAAACCCTAAACCCTGAACCCTAAACCCTGAACCCTAATCTCGTAAACCCCTAGGTGTTCCGCCATGCAATCCGACTCCAGCTTACACCGCCACGGCTCAGCGAAACGTCGGGCAAGGAGGGCAAGGTTTAGGGTTTAGGGCTTAGGGATTATGGTTTAGGGTTTCGGATAGTGCTGCTAGCTCGCCGTCCAGGACAAGAGCCGCAAGTGTGGCATTCGCGATATCCCTGGGATGCTAGAGATATGATGATACTAACAAAAGAATATATTCTTGTACTGCTAAAATTTCACAATACCATATTGCCACAATATATTCAATATAGGAATCCACTAAAATGATGGCAGCCGCAGAACCCTGGGAAAATGCCCCAGTTGGTGTAGCAGTGTAGCCCCTGGTGTTTGCAGATGCATCGAGCGAAGGCACATACTTGCTGAAGTCGAGCCCGAATGAGCCATCCAAGGTTCGGCGGTCGGCGTTGCGCTGCTGAAATTGCTCTGCTTAAGCTTGGTTATCATGCTCTCCTGAAGTCTATGGGTCTGTTTTATTATAGGGCCCGACAGGGCTTCAACCCCAGATGGGCCTGGTGCGCCTGTAGGGTTTGGTGTTTAGAGTGTAGGTTTTAGGGCTTTTCGAACTTAGGGGCAGGTTTTGGCTTTGTTGGTTACAGGATCCTAACCCCATTCTTAAGAGCCGCGCGAACTCTCGCAGACCCTCAACCCCAAACACTCCACATAATTCTACACCTAGATACCTAGGGTTTAGGGTTTATAGGGTTTAGGGAAACCCGAACATTTTAAAATGCACCTAAGCACTAGCACCTAGGTCCGCGCCTTGGGAGCTTTCTTCTCGGACTTCAGGGGCCTTGGCAGCAGTCGGGGACGTCGGGTGTTTGGGGTTTCGGGGAGAAGGGTTTAGGGTTTAGGGTTTAGGGTTTAGGGTTGAGGGTTGAGGGTTGAGGGTTGAGGGTTGAGGGTTTAGGGTTTAGGGTCATTGCTAGGGTAGTTACATGGCCCCTTCATATGCCATTAAAAGGGGACCCCTACAAACCCCTTTTTCCCCTGCACAACCCAACGGCCCATACATCAGAACCCCTGCAAG